TCTGCCCACTCCAGCCCTTGGCTCTCCTCCCCACCACTGAGGAGCTGCTGGCACCCACTGCCCACCCAGCACCAGCCTGAACACAACCCTGCCCTGCCTGCGTGTTGGCACCACAAGGGTGGTACCCACTCCCTGTGGGTACGCACTTCCCAGCAAGGACATCCCTACTGGGCCACCAGGGAAGGGCAGCATGGCCCACCCGAGGGCTGCAGGACTGAGATGGGTTATAGCTGCAACTGAAGAGTTTGGCAGGGCTGCAGACCCCTGCAGAAAGCATTTCAGGGAACACCATCTCCACTGGGATCTCACGTGTGTCCGCCTGGGCTCTGGCCCACACAACACTGACCACTTATTTGTTGATGCGAATTAGCAGCCACTTAAGAGGCACCACATCCAGCAAGAGATGGAGAAGGAAATGGCTGCAGAAAGCAACTGCAGGATCTTGGAGGTGCTCTGGGGAGCTCTAGGTAAGTGCAACCATCACTGTTAGCACCACATGCACAGCCCGTACAAAAAAGGCCCTGCACCTGCACAGCCCCGTCCATCACACACGGACATGGGCATGGCACAACCAGCTCTTCCACCACACTGGCCACGTGCCCTCCGTCCCCTTCATCCTGTGGCTGGGCACTGGCATAATTAGCAACCCCAGCTGCCAGTCAGCTTTGATGTGAAGCCTCAGTCTTTGGTTGATGCGAAATGTATAATTTGGATGATGGAAATAGCCTCTACAAAGCACATGTGGTTGCTGCGTGCCAGTGACCTCTCCCGGCTTGCGCAGATTGCTCTTTAAACGTGGTTAAGCTACAAAGGCCTCGGTGCCATCAAACAGATGAGACAGAGGCAGTGACTGAACGAGAGGCAATGTTTGGACATTTCTGAATAAACTGTATTTTTGCCTGAGAGAGGCTTGGGAATGCTTCTGCCAGAAGCATGAGGCAGAGATGAGAATTCAGGTGTGGAGACCAAAGACACAAGGACAAGGTCTCTGGAAGCCACTGTAGCTGGCAGGGCCAGGAGCTCAGAAGCTGCACAGGCTTCTCAACACAGGTCAGCAGTTCAAGGACAACCATATCTGCAGGGGCTGTAAGTCCCCACAACTTCCACCTCTCTCTTCCCAGCACAAACCAAGCTTGCAGGTCTTCCCATGCCACTCTGGACAGGATGTCCTTCAGCAGCCATTGCCAAACAGCTCAGGCTGATGTTTTGCTTGCCAAAGGGATTGATGTAAGCAGCAGTACCCAAGTACCTCCTGTAGCAACCAGGAGAAAGCCCCTCTCCTGGTGCTCCTTACCAACCCTAGCAGGGTGTGAAGCCCACTCTCTGGAATGCAACTCTCCTGGGATCCCATTCCTTCTGGGTCCATCTCCACCACAGGAACCACCTCTTCCTGGGGAAGCCAGGTTGTGGAAGGTACCATCACCAGTGGGGAAGATTTCATCTGCCTGGATCACAAGCAAAGGGGTCGGGAGGCTCAGCATGTGTCTACACACTCTCGAGTTGTGGCTGTGCCAGCACCACTGTCACACTGCTCCTTCCTCTCCAGATCCCAGACTCCTGGTGGCATCCCCACCACACACGCTGTCACTGATGTGCCAGGTCACGGCTGGCTTGGGTGAGTAGGTGTGATTCAACATCACAACTCCCATGAATGTGGGAAGTACAACCCCATGGAAGGGAAGTTTCAGCAGGGTGAAGCTCCTGCTCTGTACACCTCAGGAGCTCTCCCCATCCAACTCTGGACACAGCCCCCGATCCCTCCCACAGGAAGCCTGACAGTCCATATGTCTTGGAAAATTATTAGCAATATACAGAGGACAGATCTGGCAGAGTTTGGGCCTCATGGACCAGCTGACCAAGTCTTCAGATGCTAAGTGCAGTCCAAAGGGATGTTCAGCATCTCCCAAGGTCAAAGTCAGCCCTGACTGATGCAGGTGGAGGCTTGGTAACACCCCAGGAAACAAATCAATTGCTGGGGACACTTCAGAACCATGATCTTCCACAGAGTGTCTTGGATCTCTGGCACTCCAGGGTACCACAAACTGGGAGTCACTCCTGCGTGGGCCAGACCTGAAAGGATTTCTCTCTTGGGGATGCTGAGGAAACTCCCACCTAAGAGCAGAGCATCGTGGGAGGACACTGAGGTTCCCCCAGGCATCCCAACATCAGTGAGTGGCAGTCTGTTAGCCCCATAAGTGACAAATCCTCCTGCAATCCTGCCCTGCTCCCATGGCATCCGGTACTACCGCAGCATTAGGCCTGAGGATGGATGTCTGTGGGACCACTGGGGCAGCCTGAGCCCCCACGGCCATGCTGACCTCCTGCATCCCACCTGCTCATCCCCACAGTCTGCGTGCCCAGGCCTCGAGCTCGCTCTGTGGCCTTCTACTTGTGAGCCCTGGGATGCCCCAGCATCGAGGCAGATCCTGCTAAGGAGGACACTGCTGCTGTCCCCATGGCTAGGCACAGCCAGGGGCCAAGGACAATGGTCTGGGAGGCTCCATGCCTGTGTGCCAGTACATGCTGGTGCATGCTGTGCCAGAGCCCTGCTGGAGCTGGGGCCATGACACCCTGAAGGCTCCTGGAGCAGCCAGGGTATGCAGGGAAGTGGACTTGGTAAGAGCAGCTTTCCAGGTGCCTGGCCCCAGCACACACTACAGCTTGCTCCACATCTCCAAACCACCTTCCCTAGGCCCCAGCTGGGGCAAATCTCTCCTCTTTCTCTTCATCACACAGCAAGGACAAGGCATCTCAAGCCAGCTCAAGTGCCAGAGAAGCTCCTGGACCCCTAAAAAGAGGTCCCAGGCAGGGAACTGGACACACCAGTCCTGCCTGTACTGCTGCTCTCCCACCACCAAGCACCAGGGCTTTACAGCCGGCCAGCACGAGCACCACAAGCACCACGATGGCTGTGCAGGGCTCCCTTGTCACCTTCTCATGCCAGTTTGCCACACCAAACACAGCTCTTCAGAGCCACAAGCCTCCACAGCCATTTCCCAGCCCAGACCCCAGGCAGGGCTGGTTGGGATGCAGGGAAGATGGGGTGTCAGTGGGAAGGCTGCCGAGGCAACCACAATTCCTAGAGATCAGCATGCAGCATCAGAGAATGGCAAGGGCTGGGATTACCTGTACTGAGAGCCAACACCACGGCCTGTGGGCAGTGGGTTTTGAGATTCAGGGCACAGCCAGCACTGGGCCAGTGCTCCTTGTTCTCATGGAAACCCACTATGCACACAATGCACACAACGAGCTCGGGGATCAAACCCACAGAGATAGCAAAGCGCAGGCAGCCACAGCCTGAAGCCAGCTCATGCAAGCCCTGCAGCAGCATCCTTGGAGAACCCTCCTCTTCCAAAACCACAAACCTCAGTGGAGCTCTGGATCTGCCCAAAACGAAGCAGCACCATGGACCCCCTCACACAGCAGCTCCAGCAGCAGCTTCCCAAGGTCACCCCCAAAGCGAGCCACGCTGATGGTGGGGAGCAGCTGTGGCACCTGGCTGTGCAGTCCTCCATCGTGTTTGGTGGGTGTTGAGACAAGGGATGGCCAACAAGACATGTGGGGGAGGACAAGCTCCACCACCACCTGCCACTGCTCCTTGTGAGGAGGAACTGCCTTTCCTCCAAGGCAAGAGGCAGCTGACAGCACCTTCCCTCAAGCATGCCTTGGAGATGCCCTGGGGGCTGGAGCCCCTCTGCTCTGGAGAAAGGCTGGGAGAGCTGGGGATGTTCAGCCTGGGGAAAGCTCTGGGGAGACCTTAAAGCCCCTTTCAGTGCCCAAAGGGGCTCCAGGAGAGCTGGAGAGGGACTTTAAGACAAGGGCCTGGAGTGACAGGACAAGGAGGAATGGCTTACCACTGACAGAGGGCAGGGGAAAATGGGACATTGAAAGAAATTCTTCCCTGTGAGGGTGGGAAGGCTCTGGCACAGGTTGTCCAGAGAAGCTGTGGCTGCCCCATCCCCGGCAGTGGCCAAGGGCAGGGCGGACAGGGCTGGGAACAATTAGGGCTGGGGGAAGGTGTCCTTGCCCATGGCAGGGAGTGGAACACCATGAGCCTCTTCCAAGCCAAACCATTCTGTGATTCTGACTGACTGGGGACACCGAGGCCGATGATGACTCCTTTCCCCTCAGCCTCCCTTCACTTCAAGACACTGAGGTGGCCCCCCGCGGCTCCTCACGGAGTGTCAGGAGCCCAGATGCCTCCAGCTGCCACCTCCGGCCATTCCCATCTCGACGTCGAGCCCGGCGGTCGCGCCGGCCGCACTTACCCAGCATTTGGCTGAAGAGCAGCTGCTCCAGGTNCCGTGCAGCCCCCCCGGGACGAGCGTCACCTCTTCCAGCCCGTATCCGTCCCTTCCCCAGCCCGGTGCCCACCGGGCCCGCAGCGCTCGCACCGCCTTTGGCCGGTGGTGCCTGTCCCCCTCGGGCCGCTGCCGCCAGCCGGGGGCCGGCAGAGGGAGTCCCCAGGGAGCAGCCCAGCGCCGGAGGATCCCGGCCTCCCGGCCCCTCGGCCGCCTGTCTGGGATGGAGCCATCTGGCCAGTGCCTGGTGCCATCTGTCCCCTAGCAGCGCTGCCTGTTGTGTCCCGGTGTCCCCAACACCCAAAGGGAAAAGGCTTGGGCTGTTCCTCTGTGGGGTGACACAACACCGAACCCTCTCCAGGTGTCCCTGCAGTGAAGGGTCACCTGGGAAGGTTTGGGCTGTGCCTGAGGTTCTCCCATTCTCCTTGGCTCTGTGGCAGGAAGAGCCATAAGGCAGAGACCTCGTCCAGCACACAAACCACCAGTGACACTGCAGAGCCCGGGGTCCCTCCAGCATCCAGCACTGTAGCTAAAGTGCCACATCTCCTACTGCACACCCTGCAGGCTTCAAAACCCTCCCAGAAATTGTTCCTCAGTGTTGCCAGGGGACCAGGGACCTCCCCGTGCCGGATCAAGTCCTGGGCCAGGAGCTGTCCCACAGCGCCAGTAACATTCAGCTGAACTTGTCTGGGCCAAGACTCCACGGAACCAGTTGCATCATTTATTTAGCCCTGTGTTCCTGCAGCATCACGCACCTGGCCCTTTGCTCCTGAGAATTTTGAGCAGGACCAGATGTCGTGGTGTCTGTGTTCGCCGCGGCTGTGCGGAAACAGCCTCCCCGCTCCTCGACCCATGAAACCTGGAAGTCCCTGATGGATTTTGGCTTGGCTGCTGGGGTGGTGGGGAGAGGCAGCTGCACAGCAGGGCTGCAAAACACATTAACTCAGCAGATGCTGTCGCCTTTGCAGGCATATGTGAGTGCTGGGTGGTCGGGATGGTCAAGGGGGGAGCTGGGCTTGTCCCACCCATCCTGGCACTGGCAATGCACCCCCAGCACCCCCAGCACTCCCTGCTGAGACCATCACTGCCTGTCTGCTCCTGTCAACACTCTCAACACACAGCAGGCAGAGCAGAGTCCTGGGGATACCCAAAAAGGATTTTTTCCCTCCTTAAAAAAGGTTAAGGATTTAAAAATGCCACTGGGAACATGGGATTGTTATCACTAGGGACACAACAACAGGGTGTGCCAGCAGAGTGGGAGATTAAACCCCAAGAGCAGAGACACGGAGCTGAGGATGTGCCATCATCACAGCTGAGCTCCAAACTGAAGTGGTTTTAGATGCTGAAACTACTTTGGGTGATGAACCAAGTGTATGAAAGTGAACCCATGGATTTGATTCCAAACTGAACCCCTCAATCCCTGCCCCAGTACAGGCCATTCCCATCACAGACCATTCCCACCTTGAGCTAAACTGCCCTTTCAGGTCTTACCTGGCCAAGCCAGACGGGTCTCCCCTAATCCATCCTGTAATAAATGCAGCCACTCTTGCAGCCTGGACTCTTCTGCAGGGTTTGCCCCGAGAGCTCCACACACCCACTGGAACCCAAAGGGGGTTTCCCTTGGGAAAAACACGGATTTGCTATGGAAAGCAAAAGCCACAGGGGGCCCTTAATGGGATGAGTGGATTTTCCAGTGAGCTGTAAATCCGCAGTGGCTGCTGGCAAACACCTCCCTGCCTGCTCTGGAGGCCGGGGCGGGGATTGCAGCAGTCTCCACTCCAGAGGGATCCACGTCCCCGGAGTTTACCAGAACTCCAAGTGTGTCCGTGATGCCGACATCCAAAGGGAGTTAAGGACTGTCACTTATTTAACACATGAGGCTGGAAGAGGTTGGCAGGGGCTGGCAATGCCTTCCCTGGCCCCAAAACCCCTCACCAGCCCCAGCACAGGCAGCAGCTCCATCCCACGACTCTCAAATTAAACCTCCTCCCTGCAAAGCATGCAGCCAAAGGAGCCATCCTGAGGCCATCACATCTGGAGGATGCCTGGCTTTCCTTGAGGGAGCCCAAGCATCCCTCAAACATCCCTTCAGTATCCCTCCATCATCCCTTCAGTTCCCTCCATCATCCCTTCAGTATCCCTCAAACATCCCTTCAGTTCCCTCCATCATCCCTTCAGTATCCCTCCATCATCCCTTCAGTATCCCCCCAACATCCCTTCAGTATCCCTCCATCATCCCTTCAGTATCCCTCCATCATCCCTTCAGTATCCCCCAAACATCCCTTCAGTATCCCTCCATCATCCCTTCAGTTCCCTCCATCATCCCTTCAGTTCCCTCCATCATCCCCGAGCCCTGCCCGGCCGCAGCGCTCCTGCCCTCCCTCTCCCACCCCACGCTGCACATCCCCTGCTATGGACGCCCCAGCAGGGAGCGAGGAGGGCCTGCAGAGCCCAGAGGGGCGAGGAGAAGGCGAGGGAGAAGGGCTGGAGGAGAAGTCGGGATTTCACGCCCTGCCCTGCTCAGGGGGAGTTTCCGCTGCCGGAGGCGGCGCCGCCCGGCCGCATCCGCACGGGCCTTGAATGCGGTCTGAGAACGGAGAACGAGCACAAACACACTTCAGCTCCCCCAGCTCCCACCTCCACTCCTCCATGGCAGCAGGGCATCCAGGGAATTCAGGCAAACAGTGGGAGGCGTTAACTCGAGCTCCGGCTCCCATCCCAAACCCGCTCCCCGCAGCACAGCCGGGACCCTCGGAGCCCGATTCCCCCGGTCCGGCCCTAAGAGGATGCCAGGACACCAGGGCCCCTCCCCAGCCCGCCCCGGTGGCTTTCCCCAGCTGTTCCCTCCGCATGCGATGCCTTGGGACACTCCAATCGCCAGTGCCGGCAGGACAGAGGCCAGAGTGGCACCAAGTCCTGCTGCTGAGCCCTGGTGGGAGGGAACACGAAGGATGTGATCCCACAATAAACTCATGGGAGCCCAGCACCGAGATGGGGTGACCCAGAGCACCTCATAGAGGTCCCGAGGGCAGGGATGGTGCCACAGGTGATTTGTGGCTGGGATGGAGATCAGAGAAGTGCAGGAAGACCAAGTCCCACAGTCAGGGACAGCCTCATGACCCCCTGGGACAGAGCAGAGCTTCAAACCCTCCCTGTGCCGCTCATCCAGGATCTCCCCTCACCCTGGTTAATGAAAATCTCGCTCTCCCCAATTATTGTGACTTCCTGTGATGGTCATGGGCATCCTCCAGCCCATCTCCCATCTTCTGATCCAGGCAGTCAATCCACAGCAGTGCCTGATGTCCATAGCACCACCCAGACCCTGCAGCACAACTGGGCAAAGCTCATTAGAGGTCGCTTGCTAATGAGCAGAACTTGAGATGTGCCAGCAAATGCACCAGGGAAGCCACCAGAGCCTGCTGGGACAGGCTGGTGGCTGACAGGTCACCTGGGGCATTTGAGGAGTTCCCAGGTGCTGGAAACGTGCCACTTGCAGCCCGTGCCTCAGTTTCTCCATGCACTGTCATCAGCCTCATCACCACCAGCAGGTCCTGGCTCCCTGCAGAGCACTCCTGGGGCTGGCACTCCTCTGGGCTTGGTTAGAGCTTGGGGACCGATCCTGCCCAGCCAGGGCAGGCCAGTGACAGGAGAGGCTTTCCCTGGGAAAGCCACACAGGGCAGTGGGCAGAGGCATCCCAGCTGCTCCCTCCCTGTCACTGCTGGTTTTCCCAGTGCACAAAGGGCTGTGGGAGGACACAGGGTGCTGTCCCTGCCCCGACTGCCACTAAATAGATGCCCCAGGCAGGTGAGAGGGGACTGTCACCCATTTGCCAGCAGCAAGGCAAAGGGGGTCACATGGTGGTGGGAACAAATGCTGAAGACTTCCACCCAATACTGATGTCCCAGCCCAGGCTGATGGTGATGAAGAGTGCCAGACACCCCCAGGGAGCACACGGAGGTGAGGAGAATTCCTGCTTGGTCAGTGAGCAGAAGTGGCTCTGCAAGGGTCATGGGCAGGGAAAGGCATTCTCCTCCCACAGCGCCCACCCCAGCTCCACACGGATCCTGCTCCAGTCAGAAAGGAGGAATATGTCCTCACCTGGTGGCTGCCCTGCCTGGTAGCACTGGGGACAGGACAGGGTACCCCAGCCTGGTGGCACCACGTCCTGTCCCCACAGCGGTGCCAGCCTGCACCAGGGGCTCCTGCCACCAGCCCAGCCAGGGCCCAGGGGGCTGCAGTGGCCCCACGGAGGTCAGGGGACCTCAGTGACCCATGGGATCAGTGGCTGCACCCCAAGATCCAGCCCGAGGGGGTCACCTGATCCCCCCTGTCCATGGCCCAGGCCCCACATCCCGCTCCAGGCCTGGGGCCCCGCTCCCATCCACAGCCGGAAACACCTTTTTCCTGTCCGTGGGGCTGCATGGGGGGGGCAGCAGGAAAAACCTCGTGTCCTGGCAGGTTATTTACATCCTGCAGCCAGTGGGGCCAGCCTGATTCCCTCCACGTCCCCACATGCACCCCAAGCTCTGCTCCAGCCCTGCCAGCCTCATCCCTGTCCCCATCCTATTCCTGTCCTCACCCCCATTTCATCTCATCCTGTCCCTATCCCCACCCCATCCTTATCCACATCCCACCCCCAACACATCTCATCTCACCTCGTATCTTATCTCATCCCCACCCCTTCCCTATTCCTGTCCCCATTCCGATCTTATTTCCCATCCCAGTTCCCATCCCCATCCTTTCTTCACCCTCATTCCTCTCCTCAATGCCAACCCCTTCCCAGCACACCAAGACTGGAGACCCCCTTTACCAGAAGGAGGATCCCAAATCCTGCCTTGGGAATACCATTCTCCTCCCAGTGCACACCAGAGCTCACCCAGTCCCACAATCCCCATCCCAAGCTGTTTCCCCTCTCCCTGGTCTCTCAGAGCCTGCTGCCGTGCCGGGATGTGTGACACGTCCACATCCCAGGAGCTTTCTGTCTCATCCAGTCCTAGGAAAACATTGGGGGGAAACTGAGGCATGGGGCTGCAGGGAGTGACCCGAGGCCAGGGCCAGGAGCACTGCCGGGGCATGTGCGGCAGCCCCTGCCCCCTGACAAGAGGTGTGGGAGCCTTGGACCCCAACAGGGGAGCTCTGAACCCCAACAGGGGAGCTCTGAACCCCACACGGGAGCCCTGAACCCCACACGGGAGCTCTGAACCCCACACGGGAGCTCTGAACCCGGCTCTGGAGCCCTGAACCCGGCTCTGGAGCTCTGAACCCCACACGGGAGCTCTGAACCCGGCTCTGGAGCCCTGAACCCCGCTCTGGAGCCCTGAACCCGGCTCTGGAGCTCTGAACCCGGCTCTGGAGCTCTGAACCCGGCTCGGGCACTCGCTCAGCGCCGCCAAATGACTCAGCCGGGATCCGGCCGGGCCAGCCGGGATTTCCTGACTCAGCTCCCCCGGCTGTGAAACTGGGGGGGTCCAGCCCCTCCTTCCATCACAGACACCACCACACGCTGCTGCGGGGAGCTCTCCCATCCCTGTGACCCCCTTGGGAGCGCACGGACCCTCTCTGGCACCCGCTGTAATGGCACAGCAGCCGCGGCAAAGCCTCGGGGAGCTCCGGCAGCACCCCAAAAACGCTGGGCCAGCCCCGCCCGCGCGGGGTCTCGCCTGCTCTGGGCAGCCCCGGCTATCCAGCAGGGCCGGCTGCGGGCCTGGCATCCCGGCACACCCAGACTCCCTGGCTCCTCTCCCAGTTGTTTTTTTCCTAGGTGAAATCCAGGGAAAATCTCATGGACTCGGCGGGTCTTCACCGCTTCCCTCGCACAGGGTGAAGGCACCTCTGCGTCCCATGGGCCACTGCCTGCGATGAAGTCGTCTCAAAGTTTTCCCCCTGTCCTGTGCCATCCCGGTTTGGCTGCAACATTCCCGGCTCCAGGGAGAGTGGGGGCGGCTCCTCCTCCCCGGCTGATGGAGGATCTCCACGGGAAGCACCCATGGATGCCAACAGCTCGGAAGTACCTTCCCATGTCAAAAATGAGAGCTGACACCGTGATGTGCCAGCACCGACCTGCTCTGCCTGCGGAGGGGAGACGAGGGGCAGCAGGACACGCATTTTCGACTGTCCCTGTGCTTCAGTCACCCCGTGACCCTTTGCTGGCCATTTTCTGCTCCCCAGGACTGAACTGGGGAGGCACCGCAGCGTCTTCCTGCAGCCCCTTTCTGCCGGGAACAGGAATTGGGGGTGTCCAGGGGACACCGAAGGCACCGGGACACAGGAATTGGCCAGCCCTGTCACGCTGCAGTTCCCACTGCTGAAACAGGGACATTGTGGGGCTCAGGAGAGGGGCTGCGGGAGCTGCCCCGAGTGTCAGGCTGGTCCAGCCCCTTCAGCGGCTGCCGGCGCTCCCCGGTCCCTGCCAGCGCGTCTCTTGTCACCGCTGCTCCCCGCAGCACGACCCCATCCATCACCTCGGTCCTCAGTAGGG